GAGCAATCCAGCTCGGATGTTAATGTCTTTCAGGGCTAACTGAACCTTCTCTTTTCCCTTGTCTATCTATGTCTTTTAATTTTCTTTTGCATGGCAAATCAATTATTTTATTCTTTTCTGCTGCACCTTACTTTCCACATGCATAATTTACATTTTAAATCATGGTTTTTAAATGCTTGCCAGCCAATTGTTTTATAAAAACTATCGATACCCTCAGGCTCTAGGGGAAACTTCTTGTCTTCTTTTCTCTCTCTTTTTTTCTCTTTTCTAGAATTTCACCTAACATTTTATGAATGACTCATATTCTTTTGGTAACTCGGGATCATAATTATTAACATTAGGTATTTTACTACAATAGTATTGGGATCTAATGACTATTTTACCTTTATATATTTTATCTCTCTCCAAATTGACTTAGATTTCTAAGCTTTGAAAATTCTCCAATTTTTTTTGACATTTCTCTTTCCTCATTGTCAAACAGATTATTGGCTGTCATTTCTGGTATTTTTATATGTCTAAGGAATATTCACAACTTCTTTCTTTGTAATTTCCTATCTTTAATATATTTTAATTCACGACAATTATAACCAAGGCAGTAAGAATAATGTGTAATTTCGAACAAATATAAAACCTGAATGGGTAACGTGAGGGTTATTTTTTTGAGTAACATACATTGAATTTGTGCCATTAGTTTTTACACTTACTTTTTTTTCCCCAAGATAAATGACCCTTATGTTATGTTATTGTGCCTAATTCCTAAAATAAAATGTAGGACTAAACTGGGGATGGTAGTGGGAGCCTGTAATCCTAGCACTCAGGAGGCTGAGACAGGAGGATTACAGCAAGTTCAAGGCCAGCCTGAACTACATAGCACAAGACCATGTCTCAAAAAACAAAAAACATAATAATAATAATAATAAATAAAATGTAGAACTAAAATTTCTTGTGTCCCTAAGGGAAAACATTGTCAATTTTCCATAGAATAATTTGCCATGTTTGTTTTTTGGAAGAACTATATGCATTGTTCCTTTCTACTTATGTAGCTGTTTCTAATAAGTTATTTTATAGATATCATAATATACAGTCTGTCTTATGAATAATAGAGTATTTAAATGAAAGCTGTTGAAATAACCTGTTAAATAAATTTGACTCCAACAATACTTAGTTCTGTAACCATCCCTGTTTAGTGCTTAAAGAACAAGACTGATAAAAATAATGTTACTTAGGTGCTGCTGATGCCTTTGGATATCAGCATTGTACATGGGATAACTTGAGATTTATAATTTCTGCAGCAAGCATTTAGCATTTTCCCACCCTTCTTGCACCCTGAAATACTTTTCCAATTTAAAATTTACACATAAGATTCTATTTGATGCATGGCTTGGTATACACTTATTATGTAAGGATGGCTGAGGAGAAACACCACTAAAGTGCATAACTAGACGGTCAAGTTACAAGATCCTTTCCCCATTCCATTATCTTTGGGTTACCTCTAAGCCTCCACAAATATAGCCTTGTTTAGGAGATGACTGTGGCTCTGAGACTGTTATTTAGACGATTGTGTTTCCCATTGTACTTTGAGATGCCCATTCTTATTTCCACAGCGAGGGGAAACAGGAAATGCTCCCCCTCACCCCACAACCTCAGTGAAATGTGCTTAAAGGCAAAACCGGTGGATGTTTTCAGTCCTTGATTTGCTTGACTTCTGCTGCACTCAATAGCACTAATTATTCAGTTATCAAGAGTCATGTTTTGTGTGTTTTTCCCCATTGATAGCGTTAATTATGACCTTACAACTCTGCCTGCTGTCCCCACTGAGGCTCTTCTCTCTCTTAGCTTCCATAACATCGTGCTTTTCTGGTTTCTCCTTTTCCCCTTTGGCATCCCAATCACCTTATCAGCCTGTCCCACTTCCTCTACCTGCACCTTACACAGGGAAGTTCCCAAGAATTCTTCTAGACCTTTTCATCTCCCAATAACCAGTCACCAGATGTGTGCTGATAAATTTCTAATTCTACATGTGTAGCCCAGAAAGTAAACCCTGTGTTGCTACTGCCTTCCAGGCTTCTCTATTCCATTATTCCATGGCTTTGTACCCTGGATAATTCTCTTTCTCTCCACAGGCAACGAGTCCTCGGGGTGTGTTAAAGGAAGATGCCAAACGCTCTCTACAAAAAAGCTTCCGGATTCTTAATGAGGTCAAGAAGTTAGCAAATGATGTAAATGGTTAGTGTGGCTGGTATCTTTATTATAGTCAGCTGAATTGCACAGGAATTGATAAGATACTCTATCACAGCATTAAGGAATAAAATTGATTCAGTGTGACTTTTATGATTATTTTATAATGTGGATATAATGCAAGTAGTCTTTCTCACAAGTTTGGGGATATTTCATCTCCCTGTCTTACTCTGCACTGGGAAATATTTCAAATTTTCAACCTAATTTCTATAGCATTACTTATCTCTAAAGCAAAGTAATTTTTACTATGATAAATTTTAAAGTACCAAACTCCATGTTGTTTTGGCTTCAGAAATGAAACTCTTGAATAATTTAGTGAATGTAGCATAAATGTTTCTCTGAAACTTTCAGTTTTGTTAGTGCGTTCTGAAATTTTTACACATCTTTTCAATACATTTTTCATGTATTTTATTCCTAACTAAAAAACCAAAGTGCATAAAATGTCTATCCTAATATAGTAGGTTTTTGTGTTCAGAGTTTATTATTAAATGTTTTTGCTCTTTATATTGCTATTTTTTTTTTCATGTATTGCTTGTTTTCATGTATTGTTTCTCCTTGGAATAGCCTCCTGTTTCTCTCTCTAGCCTCAACCGTTACTATTTGCTACCTAAATATTAATGGTCCTTCCAAAACATACCACCTCCTGAGATTCCAGGTTTTCTCAGTGTTATTTCTTCTCCTTGGAAAGTGTCATCTCTGATCCATCTCCTTCATCTAATTACCTTCTCCTGGCCGTCAGGACTTGGCTCTCATGTCTGTTCTCCAGAAACCCTAATACCCTGTGCTATCTGCCCGCCTCCTCTCTGTGCATAGCCTTCCCCTTGGACGTGTCAAGCTGCTGCAGTTACAAACTTTACTCCATCTTCTTTAGGAAAGATATAGGGTCTTTTGCTTCCTTCAAATTTCTAGCACATATTACACGGACTAGCCTAAATTGGAAAAAGTTAATACATATTTCATAAATGTTTGGTTTTGGTTTTTACTTATCCCAGAAAAAAATGTTTAAAAATACTTTATATTTGGAATGTTTAAATTAATAAGCCATGGTCTCCTGTGGTGGCCAATATGGAATGATAAAATCTATCTCCGTTAACGTAGCACATTGAAAGTAAAATCCTTGGACTGAATAGAATAGGTGAAACAAATCACCTACTTCCATATTCTGTACAGCTGATAACTCTTCTTAGGTTCTGAAAAGTGACTGTAAAAAGCCAGAATTTGTTGCCTTGTTGGAAAACTGGAGTCAATCCCATTACTTTGTGGTTGCTTCTTCCTATCCAATACCCTTGCCCAGGGGCAGGTGAATGGGGTAATTCATGCAAATCCAGAGGCAGATCATGTCTTTCTTCCATACTTTACTATTTCATTCCTCATAGATCTTTTTCTGAATTAATATTGACCTATTAAAATATTACATTAATTATTTCCAGTACTCCGGGAGGCTGAGGAAGGCAGATCACAAGTTTAAGCCCAGCCTGGGCACCTTATAACTTCGTGAGAGCCTGTCTTTACAATCTTACAAAGTAAAAAAGAGCTGGAGATGTAGATTAGTGTGAAAGTCCTGGGTTCTAGCCCCAGTATCACAAACAACAACAATAAAAAGCAATAAAATGTGCTTTTAAATGTCATATCTGCTGCATGCTGTGTGGCTCGCAGCCTTCTCCTGTCCTGCCCTTGCCTCTTATTTCCCAACAAACACTGGTGTGACAAAAACGAAGAAAAAATGCATTTTTAGCATTTGAAAAAGAAATCTAAGGCCAGAGGTGGTAGAAAGGGTTAGGAGACAGAAATGTTCATTATTTTGAATGTCTTTTCTTGTACTTCAGGTAGTACATTATTTAAAGTAATGAAAACCCAGAATCTACTCAAGTAATAATTCCTCCACAAAACCAAGCCAAGACTATGACGTAGATGAGAATGTTTTCTTGCTACATTATGACATTCCCCTGATTTGTGGCCAATTACACAGGTTATAAAATGGCTGTTAATCAGGGAAATGCCATATATTACCACCAGGAACTGCTGAAATAGGCCCTCCAGAGAAAAATTCTTGACAGGGGCTATTAAAATAGAGATTTAGTCATTTCTCTCTCTATGGTGCCTGGAGTTAGAAAGAATAAAAATGGCGGGGCCAGTGTACCATCCATATTTCTAATTTGTTGCTTGGTTCAGTTCAGTACAATCCAGTTAACTCCCGAGCCTCAGTCACAAATGAATTACTGCTGCTCCCTGCCATTTTTATGCTGTCCTTGCCTTGAGGGAGTTTGAACTTGCCAGGAGCGATTTGTTTTGCTTTTTAATTTTTGAATATACAGCTGTTAAAAGTAAATTTTCCCTTGTGTGTGTTTGCGGTTTGAAGCCAGTCTGCACTGCACTGATTGAATGTCTGTGGAGACAAAAGGGTTTTGTCGATGGATATGAGGCTTGGTACAGGCTGCTGATTGAGAGAGCTGGAGGATGAGTTAATGCCACCAGGTGAAGTAATACTGCTTTACAGATGAACAAGTTCTGTTAATAGACTAATGGAGGTTCTCACAGAATATGTTCAGGGTGTGGAATGAAGTCTTGTAGTAAATGGTGCATTGGAAATCTGAGACTACTAAGACCTTATCTTACGTACAGTTGCTTTTCTTTTTTTTTAATTAATTTTATTGGTACATTCTAGGTATACAATATAATCACATTCATCATTGGAAATTGGTACCTTTATATAATCTCTCTTGGTTCTTATTCCCCCCCATACAGTTGCTTTTCAATTTTATTTAGTTCCTACTCCACCCCTAATTTTTGTCTTATGCCCAAGATAAATGAATTTCCATGATACTTAGGAAAAAAATAAATAATAGTTCTGTAAAATGAACAGTGTTTAGATGAAATAAAAACACCTGTTTCCAGGCCAAAGAAAATGACATCATGTATTGGTCGACATATGGTGATATCTCACACAGAGAGCAGAATCAAACATTGCTCAATAATGTTTATCAAACTAACTTGTCAATAATTTTCCTTCTATTCTATGGTTTTTCACACACTCATTTACTCAAACAAGTGTATCACAAAGATTCTGAGATCATGGTTATCATTCACTTGCAATTACTATCTTTGTTATTTTTCTCTCATCACTAAGCAAAATACCTGATGCCCAACGTTAAAGGAGGAAAGGTTTATTTAGCTCACAGTTTGTAGAGGTTTCCCTCCATAATTGGCTGGCTCCAAGGCAGAGGGGCACATGGCAGAGGGGCAACAGTTCATGAGAGCTGACAGATGTAGTAAAACAACAAGGGAATTTCATAGCTTCTTTCCACCCCTTTTATCTTATCTGACTACTGAGCCGCTTTTATTTTATCTGAATTACTTAGGAGAGCAACACTCACACCCTTAACCCTACTGCCCTTGAGTTTATCCTTGCATCATGAATCAGTTGCAGTATCACACACTCTAGATCCAGCCACCTCTGAAAAAACCTATGACCACATGAGGCTTTGGGGGGACATCCAGACAAAAACCCTAACACTAACCAGTGGAGACTTCATCTCATTTTTTATATGGAAAAAAGAATAAATAAGAGTACTGCAGCACTATTGAAGAATGACACAGAAATTAAATTTTAATTATAGCATTCTTGCGTTGTTAAAGATATGTTCCTTTGGAATCTGTATGCTATGATCACCTGCATCAGGCTTTCCATGTGTGAGCACATGAAAAGCAAACACATTTTCCACTAACAAGGAGCATTTTAAACTAGATGGATGAAGTCAAGTCCCAGACCCCTGGCCCACCATGCTTTCTTATTTTTTCTCATTAAAATTTCTCATACAGAATTGTGGTTCCTCCTTTACAGTGTAAACAAAGCAAAATGCAGAAAACAAAACTAGGATGTACTAGGCTAGGAGGCAAAATGAAAAGTGGCAAATCAATGGCAAACACAGAGGGGTAGAAGCAATTGGAAAGATGTGCACTAAGAGAGAGACTTAGCTTGTAATATCCCAGCCCATCATGGGAGCAGAGGGCAGGAACCAATGCTTCACAGCCTCCCTCTGAATCTTCTTAGCAAGAGACAGACAGAGCTCTGCTCAATAGAAGGGGAGCGAGAATCTCATCCAGGCTATGTTGTGTGTACAGAATCAGAATCTGGAATTCTGTGGTGGGTTTGCAAATAAATTTTTATAGACCAGAGATTATCACAAATGCATAACAAATGATAGAGGGATGGTAGGCCCTGTCTCAAATCAGAAAGTTCTTGCCTTATTTAAGGTGTTCAAATTCAATTTTCTTGCCAGCCAAAGGAAAACAAGCTTATGGACATGCAGTCAGGAATCAAAAGATTTTCTATCTTGGGTTGTTCAGTTTCTCATTTCACTGGCTTCAGACAGGATGTGCCTATCCTCATGTGCAGAGTCTTCTGAGAATCTGCCACCAGACAAGCACCTCCCTCCTCTGAGGTGTCTCCTGCAGTCCGGTAGTGGGAGACAGGGCATAAGCATTTGTAGGCAGCAGTTATTAAAGGCCTACCATGCACCATTATGCCCATCTCATACAAGATCTGATTTCAAAGCTATTTCAACCAAGGAGTGCTTTGTAAATTACTCTGAAATGTATAAAGATCGCCACATACACATGTCCAGTTCTTAGGGAAGTCAAGATGTCATAAGAAAAAAAATAAAATCTTTACACTTAAGGTAAATGTCTTCATCAAAAAATAGTAGACTGTAATAAGAAATTCATTTGACATTTCCTACTTCTTTCAAGAAGAAAACTCTGCTGCGGGGATGCTTAAGAAGCAGAAGGGCAAACATCATCTTGTGGGTTTGTTTTAGAAAACTTGCTGTTGACATATTTAATTTATCATGACAATTGATGGGTAAGTGAGCAAATATAAATTTTGAATGTTCCATATATCCAAGGAAGTATAAAATCATATGCTGTATACAATGATATAATTATGTGACACATGTACATTTTATATGTAATACATAATTTATAAAATG